CACACACACACACACACACACAATGGAATATTATGCAGCCATCAAAAAATGAAATCTTGCCACTTGCAACGACGTGGATGGAACTAGAGGGTATTATGCTAAGTGAAATTAGTCAATCAGAGAAAGACGAGTATCATATGATCTCACTGATATGAAGAATTTTTAATCTGAGGAAACAAATGAGGGTTGCTGGACTGGTGGGGGGGTGGGAGGGATGGCGTGACTGGGTGATAGACATTCTGGGAGGTATGTGCTATGGTGAGCGCTGTGAATTGTATATGACTGTTGAATCACAGATCTATACCTCTGAAACAAATAATACATTCTATGTTAAAAAAAAAAAAGAACATAGTAGGAAGGGAAAAATGAAGGGGGGCAAATCGGAGGGGGAGATGAACAGTGAGAGACGATGGACTCTGAGAAACAAACTGAGGGTTCTAGAGGGGAGGAGGGTGGGGGGATCGGTTAGCCTGGTGATGGGTATTAAGGAGGGCACGTATTGAATGGAGCACTGGGTGTTATGCACAAACAATGAATCATGGGGAACACTACATCCAAAACTAACGATGTACTGTATGGTGATTAACATAACGTAATATAAAAGAAACTAATGATGGAATGAATGGTGACTAACATAACATAATAAAATAAAATTTAAAAAAAGAAACCATTTCTCATGGAATCAAGTGGGTCCCATATACAGCATGAAGAATCTGAACATCACAGTGGAAATACAAGCTCCCTGCATAGACATGAAATGCTAATGACAATCTTGACATTTCTATGTACTGAACATTTACTGACTGGATTCTAAAATTTGTGTGATTCCAGGTGTGATCTCATTCTTTCTTATAAGACCTTTTATTATGAGTCATTCGGATGCTATTTTTAGTCCATTTCACTGACGAGAAAAGTGAGGTTTGCAGAGGGTAACAGCCTTCTACAAGGCTCAGCCAGACAGTGAAAGTCATTAACTCTACAACCTGAGCACTTACTGGACACTTCTGAGTCCATGGTAGGTGTGCAGATGTTCCAATATTTATTAATTTATTTCTTAAAATTGATGAATAAACAGGGTCATGTCTGGACTTTGTTTCCACAGCCCAGGCTCTGAACACACTTTCTAATGAGAATGAGGTTTGGGGGGAATTGGGGGCGGGAGGGATTCGAAGTCACTCTAATCAGGAAGCTGCGCACCAGAGACAGCTATTTCCAGGAGCTCCCTCATCCACAGCTTTGACAACAAGTGACGCTTTATGTATTAGACAAACAAATCCCAAAAATGGTGGAACTGTGGCAAATTTATACTGGATGGAGAATGGGCAAAAGGGCTTTCATTAGTAAAAGTAAGGGTAGTCAAGAGCAAAGATTTTACTGACACTCCCTGCCCTTGCTTAACAATTATGAAAATCCAGGTACTTGGAATGGCCTAGGGCAATTCCTGCATGAGCCTGTGTGTTATCGAGATCTCTGAAGGATTTGGTTGCTTGGTCAGAATCCTGCCTCTAGAATTATGAGTCCGAGGGAATCTCTCTGGGCTGATAAACAGAGCATCCCAATGGATGAAGATGGGGCTTTCTAGACCCGAAGAACAGGTGATGGACACCAGTATGCCTATTTGTGCAAGGTGCAAGGAGATAAAGGAGATAAAGGAGAAAAATGTTAAAAAAAATTTTAAACCCAGCTGATATTCTTCTGAGACCTGCTCTTCTTAGAGCCTGGTAGGACTTTTTGTCCGTCCATAAATCCAGTGTTCTCCTGGAGAAGAGACATAGGCCAGTCTGCAGCAGAAGTAGAAGAGAATTCCACAACAGAGCAATGAAATTGGAATTATCTGAGTTGTT